CTTGCTCTTAAAGCCTCTGCATCAGGCTTCCTGTTGCAGCTCGTGGTACCGAAGCAAGCTTTTGGGCAGACACTTTTTTATAAGCAGAAACTTCACCTGGCACCGCAGAGCTCCGACCGGTACTCGGAGTACTTAGTTGCGGTACTTTAGATAAAACAGAAGGGCAACAGGTGAAGTAGAAACTTCACCTGCACCGCAGTGCTCCGACCAGTACTCGGAGTACTTAGTTGCGGTATTTTAGATAAAACAGAAGGGCATTGAGCAGTGCAAACTACGATTATTGTCAGGTAAGAAGTATTCAGTTGCAGTAATTGTTTTGCTTTACATACAAAAAGGCTGGAGTATGCTTAAATGCTGGGCTAGCAACCGATTGCTACCAGGGGCCCTATGCTACACGACGGGACCAAGCGGAATCAAGGGACCGGGAGCCATCCAGCGACCTGGATGCAAAGATGGGTTCAGCTTTCACGGGATTGGTGCCACCTGGATCTTGTCCCAAAGGGCCAGCAGCAGCTGGATAGCCTCGCATTGCGATGCGGGGATGGGGATGCCGAGCGAGCTCGGGGCATGCCGCCCACTCAGTGTGAGGGCCAGGTGCTCCCACTGACTGGCTAGGTGCATGTTGATGAGTTCCTGGAAGGTGTTGTTTACACTTAGCAGCCGGAGCTTGGCGCTCGACGCGTACGGCGGCACCCCCAGTGCCAGCTAGTACCCCTTGCGAATAATCACGTCCATCTTGCCCTTACCTCTCGACAGCAGGTCAGGTTGAGATACGGATTTGCGCAGGCGATGTGACTCACGACGAGTGGTTGGGTCAGCCGGATCAGGTCCGACTCCTAGAGCCCGTGTCTGTGACTCGTTATCCTTCTCACCATGCGCATGACTTGCGTGGTTGTCTTGACGAGTCGGTCGACCGTGTACCTGGCTCCGCCGTCCCGCTGGAGGTGAAGGCCCCAGTATCCGAACCCGCTTCACCACCGGCACGGGGGTACCATCCTTTAACGTGAGGCGGATGTCCGCCTTCTTCTTCTTCGGGAATTGGCTTGCCCGCGTGGAGGAGCAACAGCTGAGACTTATCGGGGGCGCGCTGGAGGTTGCCGGCCTCGAGGTAGTTCTGCACCGTCTCAATGACTTCTTTGAGGAAGTCTTGCCTCCCGCTGTCCGATCCCGACGTAGCCCAAATCGTCAGGTCGTCCACATAGAGTGGCATAGAGTGTATGCTTCATCCGGGGAATCCGTTCCAGTAGAGGAGGCGGCTTGCACATCGCCAGGTAACAAGGTGGGTGACAGGACCGAGCCTTGCCGGTTGCCCTTGCTCGGTATCGGGATGGTGCTTGTGCGGATGGACTCGATTCCGATGGTAGCCATCCAGTTGCTCAGGAAGTCCCGCACATAATCATACATCCGGGGCCCGCACCCAGTTGAGGCCAAGTTCTCGAACACCAGCGTGTGACTGACGTTGTCAAAGGCGCCCTTTATATCCAGGGCCAGGACCGCCCGCGTTGTCGTACAGGAGATTCTGTCAAGGATATCCTTGATCTGAAGCAGGACATCCTGCGTGGAGGTGTGACCAGAACCCAAAAATGGTGTTCATGGTGGCATTGAGTTCAATACAGGATGGTCCCCTCAAATATCGCTGTAAACAGCTCATCAGGGCATGGGCATTTAAAAAACTGAAATGGAGTGTCCAGGTCTGTGACGCTCGGCGGTATACCTGATAACCTCTATTTCTTTTGGATCCTTTTCAAGGGAGTATATTTTCCACTTCGGGGCACTTTTCTTGTTTCTGGCACTTACTACTGCAGGAACTGTTTCACCCTCACTTTCTTCTTTGCTTTCACAGCACTCATTTGATGTTAATGTGGAAGGGAATTGGCCGGATTCCACTCTTCGTTCCTACGTAAAATGTGCTGGCGTCCAATACCTGCCACAAAAAGGGTACTTAAGATTCCAAAAATGACTAAGAGTGTGTAAACATATGATGCCAGCATTTCTTTTTTTTATTTCCAATGAGCAACATTATATTATGCCAAAACTCTCCCTAAATGCACACTGCATTTCACAGCGCGCTAAACTCTGCCGGAAAAATCGGCGCCTGCACGCAAAGGGGCGTCGTTTCCTCAGCAGTGTATTTTACCTTGTAAAATTTTAAGGCGCTCCTTTCTTTTGCAGCTAGAACATCCTTAAAAATACTAAAAATGCGTTCGCCACGGACGACCGAGTCTTCCGCTGGCAAACGCTGTCGTTTGCGTACAATACGCCCTGAAATTTTCACCCCATGGTCGATCAGGCGCCGATTTTTCCGGTTGCTTTCCCATACCTTGAGCCACCCAGAAACACCGCGCGCCCCCGTAAATAAAAAAAAAAGAAAAAAAAAAAAGAATGGAACGGCATTGAGTGTTTTGTTTACTTACCGACTTTGTGCGTGGACCGCGCCACGTTGCGCTGCCTGATGCACCCGCGTTTTGGAACTAATTCAGTTGACAGATCCCTCCGAAGATGAAGCCACTGAAGCCACGGCGGTAATCGTACTGGTAGGCTGTTCCCTTTCGAACGGGCGGAAGAAGACTACGAAGAATTCGGCAGCGAACGGGCGGAAACTCGATTACGTACAGCTTCAGTAGTCGACGCTTTGTTTTTTCGATTGCGTTCGCGGCGTTCACCGTGGACTCGCGCACTCGGCCGTAGCCGAACCAGCCGAACGGCCGAACCAGCTGGACGGCTGCCGGCGCACGTACCAGGGTTGCCAGGTGTTTGAACTCCAACCCGCCAAACGTCTACGAGATATAGCCCAAAAATAGCCAAATGTCGATCCAGAAAAATAACCCAAAAAAAACTCACCATTTGAAACGTTTATTTTGAAAAGAAAAGACACATAATACATTTTTATCCATCAAATGCCCCAGAAATTGCGTCCCTTGCACGTTCGGCGAACTTCCTGAAACGCGCGTACAAGCGCATGACAACATACCTTCCACTACATTGGGACGCTTGGTGACCAGAATGACGTCACGGGAGAACTATGCAGAATTCAGACAACCTAAAGAATGCGCAGAACAGGTGCTGTTAAGGCCGCAAGGAATCGCGCCGTCACTTCTTGAGATTGAGGAATAACAGCACATGCTTGGCATTCGGAGATAAACAATTGCACAAAGCGCGCAAAAAGAAGACGAATTAGTTTGCTGTCGCAAACTTATCAGGGTTAAGGGACTGAAGCGCCAAATGTTCACGTAACTTACTTTAAAAATACATTCGAACCTATAAACCCAAGTGCTTTCAGACATTTTGGTTTCAGCACAGGTCAGAAATTGCTCAGTGCACAGGTCAGAAATAGCCCAATGCACAGGTTAGAAATAGCCCAATACTAGCCAAATAGCCAACTACCATTTTTTCCCGCCAACTGCAAATAAAACTAGCCCAATTTGGCTATTTATAGCCCAACCTGGCAACCCTGGCGCGTACCGACAGCGTCGCCATAGCAACCACGCCGCGAGTGTGGTTGCCAGACAGAATTCACACAATTTTTTTTTCTCGTCACTCACGTTGAGTTACTAGAAGTTAGGCGCGTATCATTATAATACATTATGCTGTAAGAAGTTATTAAGGGATATGTGTACCTACCTAAGACAAATGCAGAAAAAATATTATTGAAAAATAAAATTGGCGTAATCTTTTCATATCTTGATTAAGACTAGCGTGGTCACTGGGCTAACCGATGCGCGAAATAGGAGGGCATATATACCGCTCGGGGCAGTTGTCGGTTTGTATAAGTAGGTTGTATGTACTATTTGTTGTGTGTTGTGCTATTGATCAGTGCTTGTATGCACGTGTGTAAGTAGAGTGTTGTGTGTATGTCGATGTCGTGAGTGAATGTAACCGCGCGGTGGGCAGCAAAATAACTGCTGTTTTCTTTTTTCAAATGTTTATCACTTTTTGTTTTCGTCGCTAGATGGGGGTTGTCGCCGCCCAATTTGAAAAGTGTGGCGGTTGGTGATCTATAACTACTAGAGGTATTAGAGGGCTGGATGCCATTAGTCCATCCGTCGTGTTGATCGCTCCGAGTTGTTCGGTTCCGCTGGCAGCTGTGTCGCCGTGTTATGCTGCCTGATTGCAACAAAAGGAGGTTAGGCGGCTTCCCCAGCGCGTGTTCTAGGTGCTGAATGCCGCTGTTCACGCACAAACGTTCATGAGTGGATAACGCACGTAACAGAGGTGAGCACAGGCTATAGTTAATCGAGAGCCGCACGGAGCGCGAGTGCGATACCTCCTAGCCGCTGTCGACAGAGGGTGTCGGAGCGATTCATTGTCAACTTGTCCACGGCAAGTGGGCGTTTTGTTCAATAAAGCCAGCCTGTCAGTGTTTTGTAAAGCTATCCCTTCTTTATAAGCGCTTCTGATGCGATGAAAATGCGACCGGCATTGAGCAGGCCGAGCGAGACTTCGGCGACAGTCTCGGCTGTTCAGTCTCCAGCGGTTTCGGCCTTACTCGTATTATTTGCGGTGTTGGCGCTTGGACATAGAGATGTTTGGAAAGTTTTTTGCGCCTACAGATGACACCAAACGAGCGTGCGAGCCGTATGCTCTTGCTCCGGCGAGAAGCCGCGTACGGCTCGCCAGGCTCGTATCGCCTGTCGCATACTGGCCGCCATATTGTTTTTAGGGTGTTAGCAGTTAACACGATTTTCACCACCTCCGGCGGCTAACACCCTTACACGAATAAAGGCGTTAGCCAGAGGACGAGCCACTTACACGAATAAGGGTGTAAAAATTTTAAGTGTGTAGAGTGAAAGCTCGCACCGCAAAACCCCGAGATCCTCGGATCAAAAGCAACCCCTGCCCATTTCAATAGAGATAAGCATCATAATGGCGTGCGGTCGTGTACCACTACTTTTCGATGCACATCAAAGATTGCAACTTACCATTGGAGCTGCACTGGCTAATTTTCTGTTCTTCGGAGGAAGCACCAGACGATCGTTCGGGTCAAATAACTTCCCGCTGTCTTAGCTAACCCACAACACAATCTTCATCAAACTACTTACGTGTTGTTGGAAGCACTCATCCGCTTCTTCCCTCAGCTTTGTTTGGATTTCAGGATGAAGCGCCAGAAGGTACAGAGTATATGCGATCGTGGACAACGTGGTATCTTGACCGGCGAGAAAGAAGAGAACGCACTGAGCCAAGGCCTCGTCTTCGGTTAGGGCTGCGAGAAACAAAGAACAATGCGAATGAGCAAATCTGCGAAATATTCATAGCGTGATATCATAATTGGTATGGTCACTGACAGGATGAGAACGGTCTCTCTTGAATGTCCGGCCTCCAGCACGTGCTCTTTACATTTTGTCATAGCCTCCTCTATACTCACAAAGCCTGGACGTTCGACGACGGAGCCATACAGAGCCGTGTATTGGAAATGTTTGGCCAATAGGCGGAGCAAAGGCCGCCGCCAGCGCCGAATATTCCTCCCACGCTCAGAGCGTTAACTGAATTTGTGAAACAGCGTCGACCAATCAGGAGACCGCGACGTCAGAATATTGCAAACGACATTTAAAGCATGAAATTGAAGTGTTCAATCTCAGCCTCTCTACTCCATCTCACAAATGTCGGCAGTGAACACAAAGGCAGAGGCGCGTGAGCCTAGCTCATGCAAAACGCTTTTGTTTGTACGAGAACTCGTGCATAGAAGGCACTTTCTAAAGCCACGCGCTCGTGCCCATGCCTTTGTCTACACTGCTGATGTTTGTTCGCTCTGGGGCGGCTTGCTATGACAGCGTCCTGAGACTGGCTGAAAGAAAACAGTGCAAACGGTGGAGCGCGCGAGCGTCTTGAGACGCAGAGTCCCGCTCGGCTCGTGCGGTGACTTTGGCAGTGCTTTCTTTCCCCGTCTCAGCTGAGACGCTGTTTCTAGCAAGTCGGCCCTGGTTTGGAGCGCACGTTCGTTTATTTATTTATTTATTTATTTATTTATTCATTCATTCATTCCCTCAGGGCCCGAAAGCATTATAGAGGGGAGTGGACACACACATCCTATGGACGTTTTCCACATACCGACGGCACCAGGCGGTGGCTGCACGAACTAAAAATCGAGGAAGTGACCTACCTGCGCTACCAATCGATAATGGGAGCTACGCTACCAGTTTCTTCGCTCTCTGAGCAGCGGCGCCTGCCCAGCGCGACTTTAAAGAGGGGCATCGGTGGCGTCACCCCAAACGTCGCGTTTTCCTTTCCGTCGACGTTCTTTTTTTTGTGTAACACAATTATATATATGCTGCAGTTACCTGTTCTACTCGCTGATATACAGCCTCCTTCCGAATTTCCTCGATTTTTCGTTCCGACTTCCGTCGCTTGGCATCGGGCGCTCGCGCGTGCGCAGAACGCTTCTCGGAAAAGGTCCATTGCACACGAAGACAAACAGTAATTAGGCAGGTAAGCATAAAAATCCAAAAACAGAACATTGTTAAAACAAAACACTGTCAACCAAAATCCAAAAAATATTCGCAAAGTGCAGCTTTGAATCCGGCACTCTCGGCTATGCTGGCAACAGGTGCGGGAAGGCGATTCCAGTCCAGTGATGTCATGGGTATCAAAGACTGATGAAAGCTTGAAGTGCGACACTGAGGGATGCCAACTTTATTTTGATGGTCGAAACGTGATAAGACGTATGATGGTTGTGTTAACAGATGCTGACGAATATTTGCATTAATTGTGGTGGTAAATTTTATAAAATAAACATAGACGAGATATTTTTCTACGTAGGGAGAGGTCAGGCAAGCTTAGGGTAGTTTTCATTGCTGTTACGCTAGATGTGCGATGATAGCTATGTAGTAGGAATCGAACGGAACGGTTTTGAGCAGCTTCTAATGATAATGCAAGCGTTACACCGGGGTCCCAAATAGCGGAAGAATACTCAAGTTTGCTGCGGACCAATGATTTGTAAAGAAGTAGTCTTCAGGACAGTGGGGCAAGAGAGAAGTTCCTTTTTAGAAAGCCCAACATGCGGTTAGCGTTTTTAATTATATACTCAATATGAATGTTCCATGAGAGGTTGTTACTGATGTGAACACCAAGATATTTAAATGAGGACACGGATTCCAGCTCAACAGTTCTTATATACGGTACGAGGGACAGGTGTTATTTTGACGTGATACTCTCATAAATTTGCACTTGTTAATATTGAGTTCCATTTGCCATTTATGACACCAACGAGAAATACTGTCAAGGTCAGACTGGGGTGTAAGAACGTCAAAATCATTAGTTACTTCAGAATAGATGACACAATTGTCTGCGAAGAGACCAACTGAGGATGAGATATGCGAAGGAAGGTCATTAATATATATTAAAAACAAAAGAGGGCCGAGTACTGAACCCTGGGGGACACCAGAAGTCACAGGAGAGGGGTGCGAGTTAATGCCATTAACATGAACAAATTGCGAACGGTTAGTTAAAAAGGCGTTGATACAAGTCAAAACATGAGAGTCAATGTTCAGTTCACTGAGTTTATACAAAAGGAGCCTATGTGAAACCTTGTCAAATGCCTTAGAGAAATCTAAAAAAATGCAGTCAACCTGACATGAACGATCGAGGCAAGCGTGAAGGTTATGCGTAAGTGTTAATAGCTGAGTTTCGCACGAGAACAGTTTTCTAAAGCCATGTTGAGCAGGAGAAAAGAATGTATGGGAATTAAGAAAATTAACGAGATGCGAATAGATTATGTGCTCTAAAATTTTGCAAGGGACACTTGTTAAGGATATCGGGCGATAATTACTTGAGCTGGATTTGTCACCACCTTTATGGATAGGAATCACCTTCCCCACCCTCCAGTCCTCGGGAAGGCTTCCGAGTTCGAGTGATTGCCGAAATAGCTTTGTTAAGATTAATAGAGGAACACATAGTATTGTTTTTGAGAAACTTCGAGTTAATATTATCAATTCCACACGATGACGATAGTTTAAGGTTGGCGATGACTTTCACTATATCCGCAGATTCTATATCAATGGAATTCATAGCACAAATATTGTATTCATAAACATCCGGATAGGAACTAGTGGTTAAATTTGAAAACGATTTTGTGAATAATTCGTTTAGCACAGCTGCACACTCATTCGACGCTATCGTCTCATCATCCTCGTTTTTCAGCACTACGTCAAGCCTCTCAGAAGGGTTTACGACGTTCCAAAATTGTTGAGGGTTGTTGCGCAACATGGTGGGTAGGGTACATTCGAAACAACTGAGCTTGTCTTCGGCAGTAGACGTCTTATCCACTGCTGCAGTAGAATAATATGCTGCCCAACGATGCTCTGCGTTGGGAAACACGGATAACTTTGCAGCACGAAACATCCTTTTTTTCCTATTTGAGAGCCTTCTGAGCGTCTGGTTGAACCATAAGGAGTGAGTGTAATTACGTACAGTTCGTGCAGGTACATATCTATTTGTAAGGGAGGCAACTTTTTCTTTGAACAACATCCAATTATCCTCAACAGAGCGCTCAGAAAAATTACGCAGGAAGTCGCTTAAAAAAGTACCCAATTCATGATTAATAGCTCCAAAATCCGCTCGGGCATAGTCAGATATCCGTTTTACTTGCACTGGAGAGCGACACACGGGAACAACAAAATCAAAATGGAGCAATGAATGATCACTGACACCAGGTAGGTACGTGAGAGACGATATAAGCTCGCGTGACGTCGTCAGCACAAGGTCCAGCACCGTGGCCGAAGATCAAGTAACCCGAGTAGGCTGCGTACCAACCCGAGTGAAGTTAAAATCGCCGCACAGATTTGAAAAGTCATTGGATTCTGTGGAAAACGTACTTAAACAGGGGCCGTCGTTTGACCACGTAATGTTCAGATAATTAAAGTCTCCTAACAGTAAGACTGGGACGTCAGGGAAACGGACTGTGACAGCATTCACGACGTCATGAAGGTCATAAACAAAGGTAGAACTTCTCGAAGGAGCACGATAGCAAACGCCTAAAACATATTTACGATGATTAAAACAAATGCAAATCCACAGGATCTCCAGATTCGTGGCAACGTTTACAAGAAATGAAGAAATATCAGTTACAGCTTGCATAACACCACCGCCACTTTTACCAACTCTATCTTGCCGATAGACATTAAACTTCTTTTGACAGTGCAAAATTTCACTGTTACAAATCTTACTTGTCAGCCAAGTTTGTCAAAACAACAATACTAGCATTTGATGATTCAATTATTGAACAAAGGTCGTCCCGTTTATTGATAACACTCCTAATATATGTAAAAAGAATCGAGAGTTGCGCAGAGCACGATGTCCTGAATAGGGCCACCACCCCTCGCAACATGCTACAACGTAGGTGCTGCATGACTGGCATTTTGAGTTTGGTTATTTACAGCGATAATGGGGGCAGACAAGCCGCCACTGCGCAGGTTTGCTTGTCGTACTATTAGTAAGCGGATCATAAAAGTAGCTTGTTTAGCCAATAAGAAGTTTGTTGTACCGGAGTTTGAAGGTTGCATTTTGAGATGGTTCCGAATTGAAGAAGTTTCTTTCTTGCCTGTCGTGTCGCCAGACAGAAATCCTCGTTCACTGTAGTCCCAGCGTTTTTCAGCGTCGAACGGAGCGATAAAACCTTTTCCTTTAGTTTGTACGACGCGAATTCCACGATAACCGGTCTGCATCGGTCGTCCGAGAAAAATCCCAATCTATGGGCACGATCGATGCTCTCCAAGGTTATCTGGGGGTCAACTGAACGAGATAGTATTTCAATAATTTTACTTCCTGTTTGTGCCCACATCTCCGACCTTGAATCCCCTGTTACCCCGTAGAAAAATTAGGTTTTCGCGTCTCGTCCGATCTTCGAAGTCATCCAAGTGACTTTGCAAAGACGCGTTGTCTTCTTGCACAGATTTGATTACTTCGCGTGCCTCAGTGAGTTCTTTCCGGATATCAGTTGTTACCGACTCAACAAAATCAATTCTTCGGCCAATTACTTCAATTTTACTTTCGATTAGTGTTTGGTTAGCTTTGATTTCGTTAACCGTCTCAATCAGGCTACACTGGCCCTCCTCTATCTTGACTGAGCACGTCGAAAGATCCTGGAGAAGCTTCAGCATATCAGCGAACTGTTTTGCCTGAGCATCCGTCATCGGGCCCGGGTTAAGTTCGACGTCTCCAGCTAACAGCAGTAATACATAGCGTACGAAGTAAGCACAGTCGGCAACAATACAACAACAAGCCGGGGCACAGCAGCACTATAAGGCAAACGTAACTGCTCTTGAATTTGAAAAAAACGCTTCTTACTAACCTGCATGACAACAAGGAAGTGGTTAGACGACATGTTGCGTGCGTTGCCGCCGTGCCCACTGATGGCCTGAGGGCAGGCTGTGGCTCTTATAGTCGATGGCGCTTGTGTCGATGACGTAACGAAGCCGAAGATCACGTGGTCCAGTTGCCCAAAATGACACGCTGCTTTGTTTGATTCTGTTCCCGATGTCTCTGGTGATGGTGCAGTTCGATCGAAAGTACGCCCGCCGGCAATCAGCAAGAGCTGCATGACAACAAGGAAGTGGTTAGACGACATGTTGCGTGCGTTGCCGCCGTGCCCACTGATGGCCTGAGGGCAGGCTGTGGCTCTTATAGTCGATGGCGCTTGTGTCGATGACGTAACGGAGCCGAAGATCACGTGGTCCAGTTGCCCAAAGTGACACGCTGCTTTGTTTGCTTCTGTTCCCAATGTGTCTGGTGATGGTGCAGTTGAATCGAGAGTACGCCCTCCGGCAATCAGCAAGAGCTGCATGACAACAAGGAAATGGTTAGACGATATGTTGTCACCAGTCACCGAGAGCTAAACCTTTTCACTCTAGCGACGCTAAAACGGCTCAAATTAGTCGTGTCACAGATATATATATATATATATATATATATATATATATATATATATAATTGTGTTTAAACAGCCGTAATGGACGTCTCGTGTCTCAGCCTCTAGCCTGGAGTCTCTAATGTGCACCACGCAATAGTGATACACGACGGCACGCCGGTACGATGCTCATCCAGGTCGAAACGCTCAGGGGTGGGGGGATTGAGCCCAGGATGCCTGGATTCTGCAGAACGAGTTTTCGCTCCGCGTACGACAAGCTGCGGTGTGCTAACACACTCCATCCCTGATGCCCCCAGGCATATTTGGCGAAAATAGTGATTTAAGAGAAGTGCAGGGTATATTGGAGAATAATTAAGATGGTAGGAAAAAAGAGAAAAGCAAAATGGGGAACACACGCACTGAATGATAAAGTGATAAAACCAGGGAATCGGGAACACAAACAGAGAAACACATTGCGGCAGTTAAGCTAGGTAAATGTTAAAGCACCGGGGAAAAGACGGCAGATAGAGCAAGCTTTTCATACACGCCCAAGTTTCAACTGATGTCAATGAAAAGAGGTAGCCTGAGCGTTGAACACTGCTCTTGTAGAAAAAATACGACAAGCAGACCTTTTACGCCTGCAGTGAAAGACGTGTCCGTCTTAATCTCCGAGTCGAGGTTGAAGAGTTTCTCGTCGGTTGATGATTCATTCTCAGCTTTTGATGTAACTTTACCGTCTTGGGCATCCATCATAAGTTGCAAAAAATCTTCTTGCCTCTAAAAAATGCAAGTTAAAGAAAAAAAATATTTTAAGATTGGTGTACCGAGAGCGGCATGTACCATGTTGCTAACATCCCGACTTATTTTTTTTTTAATTACTAAACAAATAACGCAATTGACATTAAAAAAAAATACTTTATTGATTGCAAACAAGTTAATTCTCTACCCCGCAAATGAATGAAGCAGTTAAAAGGTAACACGCCAATTTGTATAATGCCAAGCATCTGCTGTTATCCGTGACCTGCGGTTACTTTAAAGGAAACTAAAGAAATTATGTTGTTGAAGAGAAAATACCTTTCACCTTCAGAAATGTATTGCTTTGATGGTGTTCAAATAGTTAATATGTCGCTCACCCACGACCCCTTGGTCATCTATTTTTTACGTCAGGATTTATGTAGAAATATTTAGGATCTTCAAGATCCCGGATACGAAGTTTTTTCGTATAAAGAATGAAAAGGTAGCACTAGTCACCTTTTATAACACTGCAGCCATTTCAAGGTTAAAAAATCCTTTCTAAGTAAAATATTATAGACCAACTCAAATATAAATGCAGGGCAATTGGCTTATTTTAAGTCAACGTCTACAGCTACAATAATCGGTGACTGGTTATGTGTTTAGATGGATCTCTTCCTACCTTTCTCCACTGTAGCGGAACGAACGCTGCAGAGGAGGCGACATCCTCTCCAGCGTTCGCTCAGATGAAGTGGAAAGAGGTTGGAGGAGCTTCCACTTCACACTTAACCTGTCACCAACTAGTCTTAGTTTTGTTATGCTCATTAATACAAACATTGTCTTTAAGAAATTGTTTTTTCATAGGTATTTAAACTCTTCCTTATTAAATTAAAATTTTTAATAAAATTACGCTATTTTTATTTTGCTGACATTACACAGTGTAATGAGCATAATTTTTTTTAAAATTTCTGTTAGTTTGTGAAGACAGTTTCATTCCGCTGTCTTAAGAACACTTCTCATAAATTACCTATCGCTGCGTGGAATACGTGCAATGCGTTTATTTACTGGCATCTTGTGTTTTGTTGCCCAAGCTGGTCTTTACTGTCGCGATGCAATGTACATTTTAAGAAATATTATCAGCCTGGCATGGACTCTTTCGTTAATGCGTGCACATTATTATCGGGGAAATACAAAGAGCTAGGCAAGATATCACAGGCAGCTGCACCGATTTGAGTAAGTACTCGCCCAATAACACAATATAAAAGAGAAATCACAACCAAAGCGTGTATCTGTATAGATACTTACACTTTTATTTTCTTTCCGATTCTCAATAATCTTGAGGCAGATGTTCTTGAAGTAATCCAATATATCTGAGTTGAAGGCCCTCATTCCCAATAGTTTGAAGATTCCGGGAACCAAAACTGAAACAGAAGGAAGCACAACCAAGATTGTAAGCTCAAATACCATGAAGTTTTCAGAGAGAGATTAGGCCCCTCGTCTTTCCTCCTTAATGGAAGCGGGATATCACGTTGGCAACGCAGCCTAGGAGAGAATGCAATAGTGCTAACATTTTTACGTCACTAGTGAAGGGCTTTGAGTCAAGTATGAGCCGAAAGTGGACGCCATTGTCGTGTCCGATCTGCAACCAGCGCTTGGCCTTCACTGATGACGACATCTCTATTAGCACTACGGCTTTGTTATCTAGAAGGTTTTGTTTAAGAACGAAGCAAAGCGAAAGTGGGGAAAGAACATCGAGGTGATGTGGTGAAGGTAATTATGGACTCATTGTAATAATAATACCAGCGTTGGCGATAACGCGCTACGATCAACTACCAGTAATTCTTTACCTTTTTCGGTAACTTAGCAACGTACTCATTACATTTTCAAAACAGCAAAGTGTTACTTATATCTAGGGCTCTGTGTTTTCGGAGTTTATTTTTCGTCAAATTCGGAGGGTGTTTTTCGGAGTTTATTTTTTGCCGAAGATTAGGAGTTTATCGGAGTTTATATTTTTTTTATTCCCAGTTCTCCGAAATTCTGAGTTGAATTTCGCTGTGTTTCCTATTAAAAATAAATAAATAAATAATAACCGAATGTAAACGTATGGCAGATAAAAAAAGAAGACGCGCTTGTATCAATTGAAAATTTTTCAGTTGAATTTGGCGATGGTGCCCATTGCCACTGGCAATACTAATTTATCCATCGGATTTAAAAGCAGCGCCAAAAGACGAGGACCAGACAAAGAAGTGACACGGACGTAGCGCTGTTTATCCACGACAAAAGTTATACACAAGTGGCACTTCGATAAACGCCGATTACTTAAAATCAATAAACTCCCGGACTTAGTCGCTAGGAAGCTCGTAGCCATCCGATCCTATTTCATCAATCTAGCCCGCGGCCCCGTGAGGTGCAGTGGTTAAGGAAGTAACAGAGAGTTTGAACTGCCCCTCTTCCCAACTTTATACAATCCCTATGGTCCATAGCTTTCACTGTTACCAATACATACCCTTTCCTTTCTCTAAATCACAAATCGCATGGCCCAAACCGGAAACCAAAAAAGTGAGTTTTGTCGGGACCCGAATGTACAACGAACGACCTGTTGCCCTGAATCAACCTTGAAGAGACAAGCGGCAAGACCCCTGTTGACAACGGTCCGAGATTTGAAAGATAATTACGGTGGAATTTTCCCAGAACCATTGACTCACTGCTAATCAAACTGTAAAAAAAAAAAAAAAAAAAAAAACCAAAAAAAAAACGGACACATAAATATTCGGAGTTTATCGGATAAATCCGAATTGACCAAAATTTTACCGGCGGGTGTTTTTCGGAGTTTTCGGATTTATCCGAAAACATACGGAGCCCTACTAATATTGAGTCAAGGATAATAAAGTTACGTTCCTGGTTACATGTCCTGTCCCATGACTTGAAAAGAATTACATTTAAATGTTCTTTTGCGTTTCTAGGAGCCAGGTTATACGAATTCTTCCGCTCATCCAAAATGCCTTCAAACTTTTCCCTCTCGCTTCCCACACAAACACCGCCCCTTTAGAAAAACATGACGCTTACACTCTTCGTCTAAGTGTCCAAAACATGCTGCGGCCGTCAATAGCAGGAAGAGTTGAAAGAAGCCGTTCGAGGTCCGCTCTGTACCTCTCGACCGGAAAATTATTCGGGTCCATTCCAAAAGACGCCAGCAACATTTTGTTGGCTTATTGTGCGGGTGTGGCCTAAACCGTGACCTAAATACCAAATAAGGCCTCTTCCTTCTCTGGTTGCTCCGCGGGAAGAAATAAAGAGTGGCAATTCTACACCACTTTTGTATTTAACTTTTGAAAAAAAAAAAAAGAAAGAAAGAAGATGGATGGCTGCAGAGCTAAAGACTAAGACATCACTGAAGACGAAGGAACCCCGTACGAAAGCCATTTGCATCGCAAGCTGTTCTCGTGATGGCTTCGTCAAGTACGCCTTCAGAACCATGGTCAAGATTATGCAAATATTTTGTACCGGCAGATGTTAAACAAAAACATTTAATTTTTAATTGTCTTCTGCGTTTACCAAACCTATGGTGGCTGGAAGGGTAAGTGTACCGGGCGGGAGCGGACGGCTGCGGAGCTAGAGTTGTGATGAAAACGGCTCGTATGAGGACCGCAGTGCCCCGCGCGGTGGCGAAGAGTCTCATAGCAACACACGCACAGCCTGCAGCGCGTGTGTTGAAAGGTCACGTAGCTTTGTTATATTTTGACTCACGTTTCTTTAACTACATGAATTCACCGCGGTTAAATGGGTCGTGTGCCAAATTCTCTCATAAAAATTCTGCGAAGAAATGTTTGGAGACCGCTAGGGGCGCTGCAGCCCGCCGATGAGTTAAGCGGTGCCAAACAGTTTGAGAGAGCCTACATTATATAGAGTTTCCAACTGCTCGATCGCGGTCAGGTGGTTTCTGGGGCCGTGTTTGCAATACGAACTGCGAGGAGGTGACGAACACGTTCGTCGTCTGCGAGCGTCTCAGCCTCTCCGCTTGCTTTCCTCCTCGCCACGCGAAAACGGGGCGCATGCGCAGTTGCGACCAATATTCGCCGGTGGCGTCCGCCATTAAGCTGCCAACGCCCCCCTGGCTTGAGATGGACTCTCTCTACGACCTGGGCTCTCTCAAATATTTTTTTTGTCGCGTATCGCAGTCGCGTCATCGCAGTCAGATTGATCGAGGCTTGAGATTGGGCACGAGTGCTACTTAATGTTCGGCCGGGGCTCGTGTTCAATCAGCGCGTCCAAGGTCCGACTCGGGCCCTATAGCCGAGTTAGCCCGATCCTACTGTGATGACATTTCATGAAGGGAAAGGAGGCGATGCGGAGGCTTTGATTATTCAAGGTGGTGTTGATCGCGCCCCTCCTTATTATTGCGCGCATGCGGCGGCCTGCACACGTCCCCCCTTCCAGCCGCCGTGCCAAAACTCAAGCTCTTAAAGTTGCACGAGGTGCTCAACCTCCAATCTAAAGGAGTATGTCAATGAATGTGAGAGTATTTTGTTTGCTCCTTAGTTTCCTGTATGAGCATAGTATATCTTGAAATATACCACTAACGTCGAGGGCATAAAATGTTTCTGTTTGTAAATAAAAAAGTAACGTGCGTTATAATTTTTATCGGTAAGGGCAACGCGTTCCTTTGGTTTGTTACTGACGAGCAACGTATTCGGTACTTTTTTTGTGTAACGCTCGAAGCACTGAATAAAACCAATGCGATCAAGTAGCGACACAAGTATAGGTCACTAAGATATCATAGATAATGGTGGAATACGCAAGCTACCAAGAGTTGAGAATGGACCTGCGACAACACAACCTACTGTAGTCAAAGCCTGTGAACTTGAATTTTGACCACGTAACGGTGAGATCGAGCTTCGACTCAGAGAAGACGCGACTGCTGTGCCTCGTGTCCCATCAACGCAGTAAAGAACAATCGACATCAGGTCCGGGTCCAATCGCTGAGTACGCGCCATGCGACCGTGATGATGTTCTATGAGGTAGACGAAGATTTTCACAGACCTTATGCATTCTAAAGTCACTGGATCAGGAAAACTAGAGCCTTTGCCTCCCCACCGGCTACCCGGACACAAACAAATACCAACATACAAATGAAAAAACCTCTCAAGGTGATTGGCTCATCGCTTTCGGTTGCCACGGTGATCGCCATTTTGGACCCTTTCAGAACTTCTAAGCTTCGAAAGGGTCATTAAAATCAGTCACACCAAGATCGCTATGGAGCATCCTCGTACTGAAAGCGTTCCTTGGCCAATATGAGCCTCTTTGGCACTGTGCATTAAATAAACGTATCACTCATGCGCATTTCCCCGGATCTCTTGAAATTGTGTTGCATTGTTGCGTGTTTTAAAACAGTAAAATTATTTTTTAATGACTTCAAGCACTGACGTTGCGTTTGAAGGCGGTACGAAGATGCATGGCATCACACGCGGCGTCGGTGTTTGGGGGCATTGAAAATTAATTTTACTGTCTTGGAACTCGCAAGAACAGCAACATAACTGCACGAGAGCTAGGGAAATAAGCATGAGTGATATGTTTATTGTGTGCACAGTGCCAAAGACGCTCATATTTGCCAAGCAACGCTTTCAGTACGAGGATGCTCCATAGCGATCTTGGAGCGACTGATTTTAATGACCCTTTCGAAGCTTAGAAGTTTTGAAAGGTTCCAAAATGGCGATCACCGTGGCCACCGACAGCGATGAGCCAATCACCTTGAGAGGTTTTGTCGTATGAATTTTGGTATTTGTTTGTGTCTGGCTAGCAGGTGGGAAGGCAATGGCACTACTTTCCCAGATCCAGTGACTTTAGTTCATTCTAGGTGTTGTTGCCTGCAACCTCAATCTAGATAGACACGAACACGCGTTTGGTCCCAGCACAAATGCCACCATCATTCAGAAGCACATTATTAGCGAATCATTATCGATCAGAGAATATATGCCTCGCGCTCTCTGGGGCGTACGTTTCGAGCTCCGTGATTTCACGAGAGAATTGTACCGTAGCACAGAAAGCGAAACTGCGCCATCACCTTTACCTTCGAACATAAGTGTATGTTCAGAGAACGCCGTTTTTCGTGTTTTTCTAAATGTATTTTTATTTTGAAAATTATTCTTGCAATGTAATAACATAAAAATCAAGCAATGGACCCTTCTCACAAGTCCGAGCTAACGCATGCCCGCCATTGCTTGCTCACAAACTTTGAGTGTGTATTGGTCACGAGTGCTGACGTCAGCGTCCGGCGTGAACTCGGGTCCAATCACGCGCTTTGTAGCCAAGCCATGGTGACTGCCAATGTTGCTCGATGGACTTTTGAAAAAGAGTGTTTCCACTAAAAAAAAAATATAAGGGCGCGAACTAACTTGCGTAAATTCAAAATAAGTACGAAGAATTACGAGACTAAGGCAAAAGGATAGCAGTAGACGAAGTTTAAACGCAACTCACGCTTTATATGACAAATTATATGATGATAAAGGGATGGTTGAAAAATATTCAAAACACTTAGGAGGTGTGATAATATTAGTTTTCATGAGATATCGCGGAATCTTAAAGCTGCGGCAATCAAGTTTCGTGAAAGAACTGTTTAAATATTACTAATATTAGACTGAATCTCTTCACCCCCTTTTTAAAATGTAGTATTTGTTTGCGTTGAAAAAACCTCAGAAAGAAAGATGTAGATTGTGTGTCCTTTGGGAAATCCAACATCCCCTTTGATCGCGGTTTATGTTATACTGGAAAGACTAAACCTTGCTTCAGTAGTCATTTGACTAACAAACATAAACTCTTTGTAAAGAATGAAGACCAGTACTCGGAAGTGCAATACAATTTGTCTGAATGCAACAATTGTGTTCAGTTGTGAGCTTTGACCCTGTGGTTTTTGTGAAGGACGATGATAAATGGTTGGTCAAAAATTCATCGGGATACTTAAAGATGGAAATGCTGTGAAAAAAACTATCCGTTGAATCCGACATGGATTCAAGAAGGTTTCTGCAAATTTAACTTCAAGGTTGTCTTTTTCGTTTTCCATGTCCTCCCCTGGTTTCCTTGTTAGTCCCAGTTGGGAAATCAACCTGGTTCTCCTTAACGTTTTCACTAGGTAATAAGATGCCTTCTTAACTTATTTGTGGAAAAAGAATGGATGTAACCTACTGTTTTCGTTGCGTTAATTTCTTGCTACTTGTGCTCGGGTAATTTTAGGACAGTTTCTTGTCAGATGAGGTTTCTGTCATGTTAGAGACATTCTGTTTTTAGTGTCCTTATTTTTTACCAGTCTCAGCGTTCTTTGAAATTATACTGAATCAATTCCAACTTACATTTTTTTCTGCCTTACTACGGAGACAACGGGCCTGGATGTTAATTATTATTTTGATTGAGGCGTCGAATAATGTGTACTACTTACAGAGCAAGATGAGTGGCAGCGTTACTTTGCCTGAAAAAGCCTGTCTAGCTTTCGTGACAAACTCGTTGGTCTCATCACTGTGCGAGTCAAGTTGGGTGGCGAATGCGCACCTGGCAATGACATCGAGAGTGTAGCTTCCATAAAATCTGAAAAAATACAAACATAAAGAATAAATGGTAAACAGCGGAATGTGGTTCCTGCACTGATAAGCTTTGTTTCTTAAATTTGTTTTAAGCAATTATGCAATCTAAAAAGCAATTTCCGGGCTCATTTTGAAAATGTGAGTATAACACAAAATGCTTATTACTTCAAAGGTCTCCAATGGAGATAATAACTCAGGATTCGCTCATGAATACGTCCCCGAACTAAATTTCTTATCGATACCATCAACCAAAAGCTGTATTTGAATCTCCCAGCTAAGTTCCTTTAAACAAATATTATTCAGTGCCTATATGTAATTCTTTAAACGAAAAGCCCTATAATGTATCTAGAAGTATAGACAGAAGTTTTCCCATAACAATTTAAGTATTCAAGTAGTTTGCTGAAATACAGTATCGTATTACTGCCGCTTCTCAGTTTTTACCGCTCTGACGCTGATCACTTTCTATCACTGCTCAATCGCATGTTCATATCACAAACATTTGGGTTATTTTTATCAAAATGGCAGAGTGTAAATATCAGTCTGGTAATCGCTGCAAATAATGTGACCCACAAGTTCTTATATTCCCTACCAAGAGGCGAATCCCAAGCTCCTTGGTAAAATGTCTAATAAAACGGCAATGCTGCCGGTGTTATTGCACACATACCGAAAGGTTCCCCCCTCTCCGCAGTCAGCTGGGGCAAGAGCTAATCTGTCTATTCGACTTGACACCTTTTTCGGTTCTCAGTAAAACTTTAAATAACCCGGGCGACACTTTAGAAGCTTTCCCTGATATTAACGTCGGACAACTCTTTCTGTTAAGTGGCGCACTCTCCTAAAGCTTCGAGATTTTATGTAAGCAAAAGATCAAGGTTCTCAACTATTTTAATGTTCAATTTTGGTCCACATGAACTCCGCGCAACCATATTCAAATATGATTCCTAATTTTCTTCACGAGCCCAGAATTTTCATGACAGCTAATAAAAGGACATTCACTATGCCCCGCCCCCGTATTTGATGTTTATGAATGTTCCAGTGTTAGGTTCCTTCCATTCTTTAACTTACCTTAAAGACACCCAACTCAGTTCCAACAAGGTCCCGTGAGTGAGGTTTGTGCCAGAAGCAGAAAACTGCCCCATAAGTGAATCACTGAAAGCAGACTGAGCAACAGAATCACGGCCTATTAAACGGAAAATTGCCTAAACGTTGCCAACCTAAGCTTCAAAGTTCCTGTTTGCACCATGTCCGCGTTTGCCAGGTATATGTGGGTCGACGGAATTTCTTCGCCATCTTTTTTGCAAACCAGCATCATTCACATGACCTCGACGGCCGCCAATTTATTACGCCTTCTTATGCCCGTGTCCCACTAGAGCGACAGACAGAAACAAAAGACAGCGACAAGCCTCAAACCCATGCAGCATGCTTGCGATGGTACCTTTGGCGGGTGTTTAGTCGTTTAATGCTCGTGAATTAAGCGCAAGCGATTGCAAGTCTGCCAAAGAAACCCTCGCGTGCACGATGCTCATGTTTGAGCATAGCCTTCTTTATTCTACAAAGCCTCTCAAATCAAGAAAGACTCTGGTTTGAGGCTTGTCGTTGTCTTTTGTTTCTGTATGTCGCTCTAATGGGACACTGGCATAAGATGTAAACCACTATTGTATGAAGATTCAAACTCACCGTTTAATGTCTAGCTCTCCCTCGATTTCAGCTGTTTTCTTCAAGTGCTCCGCTGTTTTTCTGGCACAGTCCGCGATCAAGGAATTCATCTGTACCAAATAGTGTTGCCTTGTGAATTTTACGCAATATACCTCTTCCCGGACCTCTTAATGTTTCGATTCTTGGATTAAAATTGTGGCATTGATAGGGCTCGTGCGAAAATAACCTGAGTAAGTCAAATATAATATGAAAAAAAAAATAAGTTTTACATTTTTATACTCGCACATGTATACATCTAAGCTCAAGGAATGTATCTCTTAGTAAAAAGTGTTGGTGCAAGCTATAAGTATTTGTGATAGTTTCTGAAAGAAACTCCTTGAAGGGGGTGCCAGTGCCGCAACACCCCTAGAAAATGAACGGTGTTCTCATTTCAACGTACACTTTTTCCAGAGAAAGGAAGTCCCATGCAACAGCGCTCTCTTTAACAACCAAAAATGATGTAAAACTATAAATAAATGTGCTGAAAGTGCGTAACTATAGCTGTGTAATAAGGACACTCTCCCGCCCCTAAAGGTGCGGAATGGTTTTGCGTTAATATCAAAAATAAATAGCGAACAATGTATGCCAAGCATCATATGTCTATCTTTGCTTGCAGTGTATTTACTGTTACAAAAATTTCATTTTTATTTGAAATACGCAATTCTATAGATCAATACGGCTTGACCACAGCTGAAACTAGAATAGCGTAAAGTTTTCTTTTTTTTTTTTTTTTATTCATAAAGGGCATGGACAGAGACACTTGAGCCCTAGAGCATACCGTATAACTGTACACAAACCTTGCGCAGCTTCCCCGTAGAAAACGCCGGGCTTACTGCCGGTCGGATCCTCCTCCACTTTTCTACTGGGGTGATGAGCATCATGTTGTCCAGAATGGGATCGAAGAGGTTAACCACCTGCGCAGCCCCCAGAACTATTTTCACACTCTCTTCACTTCGTACCAGAAAAAAACCAGGCCAAGTGCGAAAGCCACACTTTGCCTGAGCCTGCCCTCAACATGAATGCTTGGGCATGAGTTATTCAAGGAAATATTGACATCGCTTGTAGTTTTGTCTGGAAGCGTTGGCATGACTACTTCGTTTAGATTTGAATCAGGACTATTGTACTGACCTGCCGTCGCGTAGACGCTACTGCGTAATAAAGTTTCCAAGTTCAGTGTTTTATGATACTGACTAATTTACTCCTCGACTGCAGGGATACCAGGCAATATTTAAGGCAGGCTACCTGTTTAAATTTTTATATAACAAATTTCCCTATGGAGTATTGAATCACGCAACAATTCCTCTCCCGTGCCCCCGAAATAATAGTTCGGTAGAGGTGCAGCCTAAAGTCCCTGCCAATATAAAAGACACATATCGCTTTGATGGGAGCGAAACTTGATAACGCAACCAAAATGAACCAGCGTGCAGTAACGAAGCGCCTTCCCTTCCCTCCGAGCTGCCGCGAGCCACACCGTCTTGGCAACGCGCTCCCTCTTGGTCTTTTATATTTGTAGAGAGTGTCCATGTCATACCCTCGTTTCTTACTCAGTTTAACAACACAGTTTCTACAGCAGTTGGTTGCGCACTCCAGGAAGGTATTTTGTCAAATTTAAGTTCGCTTTTGTTGGGCCTTCATACTGATTACCATTTTCGGGCGTGTTTTACATTTTCTTGCGTGATTGACCAAGTACAGTGGCGTAAAAACTTGTTTTTGAGTGGGGGGGGAAGCAAACCAGACTCCCCCCCCCCCCCAGGGCCGGGGGGCGGTGCCCTCGGTATCCCATGGGCGCCGCCAGACGGTGCTTGCCCTGCCGAGTGGCGGCTGTTTCGAGGGGGGGGGGGGGAGGAGTAACTCTACAAAGTTACTTGGCCATGGGCGTAGCAACCGGGGGGGGGGAGGGGGGGGGGAAGGGGGCAAGACAGATGCCTTGCCCCCCCCCCCCCCCCCCCACTCTGAGGACTGGGGGGGCAAGCGCCCCCCTTGCCCCATCCCCCCCCCCCCCGGTTGCTACGCCCATGGTCAAGTAACTTTGTGGAGTTACGTATCATTTAAGTGCAACAAAAATTACTTCTAAACTCTAGTTATAACATTTCAATATTCCAATATTTGTACTTCATATATATCACAAAGTAAATCTGTTCAAATTAACTTTTGACATAAACGTCAACATGTGTGGTAAGGCCAGACGTGAGAATGATCAAGCTAAGCGCAACAACTATAACAATATTATAGCAGGTGGAGGCTATTCACTGAGGAAATTAAAGTGTAACATCTATTAAGCAAGAGATCGTTCGATTTCTTGCTCTCGGGATATTTCAAAACATCTTCAAGACACGGGTCAAGACGCTGCGGTGCGGTCCGCGCCATGTCGCCCAGTCACATCAAGGGGGAAAGGGGGGGGGGAAGGGGGGCTGTTTTGCCATACTTCTCTTTGGAACGCTGCAGAATCAGCTGAACTCCATCATCCTACGCCGTGACACCAATCTCCCACACACTCTCAGAAATGGGGGGTATAGGGGGTATACCTCTTATCCCTTATGTAACACCCCAAAAGTACATTTCGACGTTGAGTCCCATGACGTGGAGCTGGTGAAAGCAACTTCCACGAGCGTCTTGATAGCTATTGGATATAACGTACTAAATAGCTAACGTGCGTATCAAAGACTAGAAAAAAAAACACAGGGGTTTTGCAGCATCACCAAAAAACCCTTGATTATCTTACTGTTGCACGTTGTATCGCTCGACACTCAAGCCGCTCTCGAAAGTTGGTATCGTCTGTTTGACGTCGGTGGACTGAACGTCGAATTGATTCTTTTTTTGGTAGGTGTCACATATGGGACAAGGGTTGTGCGTATCCCATACACCCCCCATTTCTGAGTGCGTATCAACAATGGTCCGTCGGCTTTCTATAGACTGTTTTATCGTGGGTAGCGCCATTTTGAGAGCGAGAGAGAAAAGGGGAAAGGGCTACCGGCACTTTCCCCCTTTCTGATTGTGTAGAAAGAGTAAAAGTCCCGGATGAGAGGCTTGGCCGGTGTTGGGTGTCTGCTGTGCCCCAACTTCGTTCGCACTTTCTTTTCTGTTTGGACTCGCAAACTTAAATAGAGCCACGGACTTTGATGGCAACAGTCCCCCAGTGATCGGGACACCATTGCTCGGTCATAGGGTGCACGAATAACGACAGAAAGCGTCGAATACCGCCCAAGGACCTCGTAGCTTGCATGGAATTCGGTAAGGCACGTGCGGCTGCAATGTTTTGAAGCTCCACCGCTTTCCGCGTGACTGGAAATGATGAACCATTCATAAATTTTTGCTTGCAATAGGCTCATTTCAACGCAGCCGTTTTTAGTAATGAACAAGCGATACAAGAAACGGGAACCTCAATTAACTTTTGTAAACACCCGGAGCTGCTACATATCGTTTTGCTGCGCTGCTTTTATCTTGCGTGTCCGTGTTCTCATATTTCATTGTGGATGAACGACGAAGACGTTCTAGATGCGCTTATACCGAACCGCAGAAAGCGTCAAAGCAGCCACGAATTATTTTACTATTTGATGCAATATTTTGAGTACTAACCTCCAATTTCTATCACTGACACGTTCGCTGCGGCTGTTCCCCCGTTGCCGCACTGGCGGATGCCATGACTCGAACAAAGAAACGTACACACTGGGCTCGAAGACGCAGATCGCAACACACGAGTCGTACCCTGGAGCGACTATCCACCGCTTCAAAGCGCCCAATCGACGGAAACAAACCAAACAAACCACCAGCGGCACTCCAAGGAGCGCTTTTGTCGGCTCTCTGGTATCGCACAGGGGATCGCTATTCAGGAAAACCGATAGAACTACGTTTTCAACAATTTCTAGCCTGACCCGGCGGCGGAAATAAGCCTTCAACTAAGTGTTGTAAATGATGAAATCGAGTCAGTCACCACTGCAAATTATCAATATTAAGATAAATTCAGTTACAAAATTTTACAAGCTGAAACAGCAATTATCCCGAGAAAACTGGCACGCACCTTGCGAGCGTACCCCATGTTCATCGGCGGTACAGCGTTCGGTGCGCGCTCCATTCGCAAGCTGTTCCGAGCACAGTCGAGAAGATTGCAATCTACATAAATCCTCGGACGGTATTCGACGCTTTCTGTCGTTATTCGTGCACCCTATGACCGAGCAATGGTGTCCCGATGACCGGGGAACTGTTGCCATCGAAGCCCGTTACTCTAATTAAGTTTGCGAGTTCAAAACAGAAAAGAAAGCGGGAACGAAGTTGGGGCACGGCAGACACCCAACACCGGCCAAGCCTCTCATCTGGGACTTTCACTCTTTCTACACAATCAGAAAGGGGGAAAGCGCCGGTAGCCCTTTCCCCTTTTCTCTCTCGCCCTCTTTCAGTAAAACGGTCTATAGCAGGGGGTCTGCCTGGGACCTGGTGTTGGTGCACTACGGGGGCGCGCATAACCACCGCATCACGCTACGATCGGCAACGGTGTTCCCGTCGAGGCCAGACTGTACCAATTTTATCGACAGCATACTCTCAGCGATCCACCATCTAATCCTGTTTCGTTTTCCTGCCTTCAGGTAAGCTGGGAATGCTCATCTATGCGCAGTAACTGCTTAGGCCTTATTGTCGTGCCGAGCCCCAAGGCGATGCTCTTCACTGCCAAAGAATGTTCTGCGAAATTGATATCCACTGTAATGCTTGGTGGTGCTATTGAGCTAAACTCCGGCCCCACATTTGAGAAGGAGGTGGACATAATTCTTGAGGAACAAAAAGAGCGAACTACAGTATTAAGCGATATCAACCGTGACCAACGTCTTCTACAAAAATGTGGAAACGAAAATACCAACGCATGAAGAAAACTCAAAACACGAATCGGACAATTTGAGTCCATTCAACAACATGTCGCAAAAAGAGAATAACTGCGAAACCTGAGGAACCAATTATAACACCTATAATCGCTACTTCATGGCATATAAGAAACCCGGACTACTCTAAAAGGCCTCAGCAAGGCGTTTGCGTACTAGCCTTAAAAATGAACGACTTCGAAAACCAGTCTAGGCGGAACAACCTGCTGATTTTGGGCTCAAAAACGAAGCAAATTAAACGGCCGCTGACCTGTTAGCTTTGATTGAAACGGCTGTGCTTGATAAAATAGAGGTTAAACCAAAAATTATCGAACGCGTTTATGGAATTAATAACAACAAGATCACCGCTCGACATGTCGCCTTGAAACTATACGAATTCAGAAAAAAATATTACAATTCTCTATAACTAAAATACCCAAAAGGAAGAAGAATATTAGTAAGGGAAGGCTTTATTAAGCGCGTCGAGATTACAAGAAAGGAAACTATGAGACATTTCTCAAGAAGAACGGAGTTTCGGTGCTAAAGTTCTCTTGGTCTACGGCAAATTATCGCTTGATAACCAACTGTTTTTCCGGCAAATCAATAAAAAGAAAGGCGCACTGAACTAAGAAGTTCACCCCTCAAAAATGCCTGGTTGCGAAAATCAATACTAAAAGTCGAAGTTCCAACATCATAATATAGCACTTTCTAACCTCCTAAGGACCGAACGTGGGAAGATTTGCCGTCATATTTTTACAAAACATAATACTCCCAAATCCTTTCTAATGAATAGCGTTCTTACTCAGAATAGCAAGATGATAGCAAATATTACAGCTCAGTTGTTTCGATTAATAAATTCCCAGTTTCTTTGTTTTTTTTTGTTTTTTTTTTTGCGTCCGAATATCTACCTTTCCCTGACTTCGCGATTCCAGAAGGTGTTCTCAATTTACTGGTTAATATTAGAGAGTAAAAATCACAAGGGCTCCGATAGGTTAGTTAATGCGTTTCTAAAAATACAGGCACCATGTATAGCAAAACACTTATGTACAAGTTTTTAAAAATCACTGACCGATGCGGATTTTCCAAATGACTCGAAACTTGCTAATATACAACCAGTTCAAAAGAAGGTAAAAAAAAGCTGTCAGGTTACCGTCCAATTTCAATAACTTCTGAGTGCTGCAAAATTCTTGAACCATATGACTGCAAAACAAATTACTAATCTCCTAGAAAAGTACAAAAGACAGAGTTCCCACTAGCACGGGTTTAGAAGGAGATATTATTCTACAACCCATTACAATAAACAAGTTGATGTTATATTCCTAGATCTGGCAAAGGTTTCCAATAGCGTCTCACACAGTAATCTGTTATACAAGCCCAATGCTATCTTTAAAAAAAAATGCCGAACTTCTAAATTGGCTGAACGCGTATCTAATAGAAAACAACTCGTTCCTTTTGGAGGAGAATCGTAGTGTATTTGTATTCTAGGAACAACGGTCCCAGAACACAGAGAGCTGGGCGCCACCATTTCAAACAGTCTTTGCTGGGAGGGACTCGCATAACGCCTCTATGGCATCAAAAGCTACTAACAAATTATGGCATATAAAACGTTCACTCAAAAGTTTTCACGCCTTAAGTTAAACTACCTGCTTATAAAGCATTATGAAGGCTCACATTGGAATATGCAAACGTAATCTGGGACCCCTAGATGGCTGTTAATGTACAGAGATTGGAATGACTCAAACGAAAGCTCTACTATTTTTTTAACAAATTTTTTCGATATAACTCATTGTTCGTGTTAATAAAAACAAGCTGATTTAACACATCGTAGTTACCGCGCGAAAATATAGATTAAAAACACTCTACCGAATCATCCCGAGTGACTTTCACATCAATACAGATGACCTCATTAGCTTTTCTACTTGAACCGGCACTAGAGCCTCCCACACAAGAACGATGGAAAACTCCCAGATTTGCATTGACTGCTTCAAATATTCATTTTTGCCTGGGAACATTTCAGATTGGAAAAACCTTCGTACCAGCATCATTCACGCCGACTATAGCTTGACACTTTCCTGCCCCAGCTGAACGTCTCTTCGTGAACAGTTCCTATTTCGTTCTCCTACTATATGTACTTTGTTTTGTTTTATCAAAGATCTATGCTTTTCTCCTCTTTCACCAGACCCCTGTCGGGATGCATATTGTTAACGCGCAGGCGATACACACACTAGCAACGGCGCCCACGCCAGATTGGCTGACTCGTGGAGGTTAGACGCTGCCGCCGTCAACATAGGCAGCGGTTACGACGAGTTTCCGAAGCGGTAGAGTAGCTTAATAGTAAGATGTCTTCATACGCAGCGTACCCGGGTTCAATCCACAGAGTGGGCTTACTTTTCTTAATTTTGTTTCTCAAACATTTTGTTTTATCGAGGCATTTGGCGATATTTACGAAATTTCTTTTTTACGACTAATACTAGAAAAAAAACACGAATGTTGCTGCAGAAACTTTGTTGAACTTTCCAGACAAATAAAAATGCTGTAATAAATGCTAAAAAATTTAATTGATGTTAATCTCCACAATTTTATTAAACCATCTCCTGATAAGTTGTAAAAATACTTGTCTCCGGAAAAAAAAGAAGAAAAAAACATTTCTACATTGGTTGTTGAGGAAAAATCGTCAGCGATTTAAGCAAAATTTGCACATTGCTCAAGTGTTACTTTCAGTCTCTTTTACACTTGATAATGGGACCAGTCCGGATTACCAACAGACCCTCTCCGAAATTCAGTGCCATTTGGTGCTTAAAATGGCAGTTTAGCATTTGTCGTACTAATGGCGGCAATGAGCCTGTAGGCGGCTGCAGTGTTGTGTCAGGCACCATCACTTTTGCAAGTCAACGGCAAACGAGAATGTGTTTGTACAGTTCTTTCTCAATCTCTCTGTGTCGATAACCACGAAGATGCAATCAGTCAGAACGAAGCGCCAACCCAGATAACCCAGCACATACGTTTGACATCATCAAATGCGCGTGAAAATGAACTGGATCTTTATACAACCGCGTTGGCAACCGCTTTGCGAACGCGGATCCGCTTCCAGTGTGAATGCGCCATTAGGTCAGTTGAGCCTTCAATAATCGCACTCAAGTTCATGTCGTGTTGTATGCACGCTTTCACAGCGGGAAGTTACCATGAAATCCCGTAGGGCCATCCTCCCCCGAGAAATCGCCCATCCCGTTTGTCTGACTAAATATCCCTAACATAAAAATTTTGAAACATCGCACACTCCCCGATTTCTGTCAGTCATCCCGCGCTGTCCGACGGGAATCACATAAACAGCGCGATCTGTGGTACCGGTATGTGTGACAAACGGGTTCGCAGCGGGTCCCCGCGTTTTTGTCCTTAATATGCGCGCGCAATATCGGTTCCTGTGACACGTATGTTTAGCCGGTTTCCGCGTGTTTATCGCACCGTGAAACACGAATCTACTGCATGCCGGAGTCTGCGGCATTCTTTTCCCTTGACACAGGAGTTCGTAGCGAATTCCCGAGTGTTTATCACGTTGCGAAACACAAATTTGCCGTGTCCGCGCGATCTGCGGTATCAGTTCCCGTGTCACGTGGTTTCTAGCGGGTACCCGTTGTGTTTCTCATTAATATTTGTAAAACTTTTGCTCTCTCATCCGCAAAGATAGCTCACCTCATGTTTTTCATCATTTATCTCTTGATTTTCGGTGGGCGCCCTTAAGGGAGTTTACGGTAGTCAGCCCCAATAGTAGTATGATGTCTTCGCTGTAGATTAGAAATTTCGCCAGTGCCGCCTGGGGTCTTCACCCTGAAATAACGCTGTTGTCAAGCGACCGCCTGCCGGTACAATGCTAATTCCTTTTGAAACGATCAATGGTGAGGATAGAGCCCAGGATCCTTATGTTCTTCAGCACAAGCTTTCGCTCCAGGCGCTCCGAGCTCCGGTGCGCTAACACATTCGATCACCCCTTCTCGAAGTAAAACTTCCCACATTTCACTCACCCTTCTATTTGGCAAGGAAGGGAAGTCTTTGACGAGAACAAGCTTCACCAATTCCGGATCAGCTACGAAGAGCACAGGTTTCCCGCCTTCATAGACGCTGCGAGTAAGGCGGAAGGTAAAGGAAATCGTGATTAGGGTCTCATCAACAAAAAATACAAAAAAAATATATGCATGGAGACTTACCCGAACAATTTCCCAAATTCAGTGTACCTATCTTGATCCATGCGATGACAAGGCTGGAATAAGGGAATAAACAACAAATTAATGTTGTGACTTCCAATGTTGTAGCTCGAGGTCGCATGCCTGTTCGTTATAACTGTGTGAAGCTCTATGCAACTCTTGGACTGCGCAATTTGTTTTTCAGAGTTCAACGGTGCGGCGCCCATTACGAATAATTAAATTATTTGTAATAAATAACTCTTTACGGTCACTCGGTAATAACTTGATTGATTTTATTAGGTAGTTATCACAAAAGTGACTTTATTCTGCGTAATTGGTACCTTACCCATTACGACTAATCCCCCTCCATCCCAACGGTTTCTAGTTTACTACTACTTAGCATATTTTGAGCTAAAACTAAAGCTATATTTCTACATTATAATGTACGTATTGGCAATAAGAAAAGAAAAATAAAACGTCTGTTACAGAGCTTTACAAAAGGAGGCCACTCTTCGTTGCACAGTTTACACAGTGGTTTGTTGTGATTCGAGCTGGGACTGTTCTCTGCAAATGCCTGCAACTGCGACCTTTTATTGTTAATGTAGCATGTGCGCCTTAAGTAACCGTTCAGACAGTTTACCCTCTTTCTTTAGAAAATTTCAATCCGGCACAAATTACCAACCCCTACATCCTGGTTCCCGGAAGGTAAGCAAAAACTGGGTAATACCAGGATTAATGTGCGACAACAAAATAATATCTTTGCTTATTTCATACAAAGCCGTCATTATGCCACATGAATTGAGAAAATGAGAAATCCGGTGACTCTATTCCACAAAGGGGACTGTACGAAAGGTAGGTTTTGAGACCGATAGAAAAACTTTGAATAAATCGTGTGTATTCAATACAGGAGGCTTTGTTAAAGCTTTCTTTTACGACGTTGCAAGTGATAACTGCGTGAAGCTTCTGAAATAATTGTAAAAGTACTGATTACTTTTAAAATAACTGTCGATCACTTTTTCTTTCAAGTAATCTAACTTAATACATTTTAACAAAGAGTAATAGTAATAGCAATCCATTACTTTTAGAGTAATGTGTACAAGACAGTTTTTAGCGTACAGACTGAATTTTATTAAACCTGTTTGCGATGAGGCAATGCTTCTACCACTCTTGAATTTGCGGTACAACAAGCTTCCCTACAGAAAGAGAATCTAAGTGTAATGTACGGGTCTAAAGTCTTCTAATGCGCGAAGCATCTATTTTAGAGGAGCTGCTTCTATTGAGATATATTACAATTTAAAAGTTGCTTTTTAGTTATAAAACACAAGCGACTGCCTAAAGGGCAATGTGTTTTCATAAAATGCGTAATTACTTATTCGTGTAATATGGCTATCACTGTTTTTTTTTCCATTTGGGATTAAGAAAAGACACCGAATACCCAATTTAGTGTGTTGAGCAGAACGGCTAGAAACATCAAATGCTTGAAGACCTCAAAGTCACGCATAAGGGATCCATGACTATAATAATCTATATTAATAATTTTGCTCCGAACCATATGAAAAATGTTCCAGAGTGGTGCAGATGTACATATTACGGTTGATACTGCTCACGAACGCATACTCCAAGGAGACACAGTCGCGCTGTCGGATTCACAATGCATTAAAATTGCAATACCAGCAATTTAAGCAATTTATTACTTTTAAATCATCTGGGTCGTTTTATTTAAAATCGAACACCCTGGTCGGGTGGGTATTTGAATTTTTTTTCAAGTGAATATATATATTATCCCCATACCTGGGAAAAACAAAACCTCCTAAAACAATTGTTTTCGCTTTATGAAAACTATTCGTAAAACAAAAACAAGGTGAAAATAAAATGTTTTCTTTTTGGTTTCTGTAGGAAGTTCTCTTACTTCTTATGAATACTGAAAATGTTAAAATATTTATAGAATATTTTCGTGCAAATCTATTGTACGCCGAGTGCTTTTAGTTATACACTTCGCAAATAAGCCAAATTCCTTTTCCGAAATAAACAAAATGCCAAACATTCAGCTTTGGCGTTCGGATGACATAGTTGGATCCTTGTCTACCCATATTATCGTTAATTAGCACTTAGAAAATGCTGCCCTTGTGTATTTCTGTCCGTGGTGCATAGGCTGATAGTACTTTTTTTAAATTTATATTCACGCATCATTTTATATTTAGTTTCAAACTACATACAAATCTAAATATGAATACATTTTGAGGCTGCTTTATTAAAAAGATATTTATAATTATCTATTAATTTCCAGTCATATTGCTTTTCTAGTGGCATAATCGGAATTCCAACCTTTTTGTTGCATTTTCGTTAGAAAACGTCAAACAGACATCAACACGCCCGAATAGGCAAACCGGTCGTTTCCGCAAGTTGGTTTCGCTGCATGGCTTATATCTTTTACTTTTTAGCTTGAAAGACTGCAGGTTGGTGCCGCTTCAATAACAAGAGTCGTTCGAGGGAAATATTATTTGACTGTATTAAAGATCTATATTATTTTAATAAAACACATTTGAATTGAACTATTGTTTTGAACTCAAGTTCTAAAACGTTAAGCCGAGATTTCTAACTATCATTCTGCGTTTTCGGGCTTCTTTTTGAGCATATTCGGAAGATGTTGATAGTGGTTCTTGAATTTTTCAGAGCTTTCTTTTATGATACACGAAAGCCCGGAGTTTCGGGATTTTATCTGCAGCAAATAAAAGCATAAAAACAGCAGTTTGCAAGTTTAGTCAGCAGTTTTTCATACATGAGGCCATATTCGACAATTGCCGTAGATATTTGATGACGCGTTTGGCTGACAGGGGCTGAATACATTTGTTTTGTAGAGCTTACGCACAAAACGTAAAAAAAAAGAACAAAAGTGCCAAAGTTGTTCGCAAGATTAAAAAAAAAAACGGAGTTTACAGAAATTGGAATAGCAAAACGTTCCACCGACGCGTGTCTACCGAGTAAACGCCTGTTTAATGCATAACCGGGCATACCGGGATATCAGAAGCTTGTTCCGCCTTTGTACGCTTGTGGGTCCCAGAATTAAATCTAGAATCGGAGGCAAGAATGGTTTAAGAACATTACGAACAAGAATTGGTCAATAAGAACGTAAAATTCTAAACGAGATATGTCATAAATGCTTATTATAATAAGTATTTACATAAAACGATGACACTATTTTATTGAACACGCGCTGTTTATTTGAAATAAGATAAATATGAATAGATATGCTGGTTACGCACATTTCACCATTCAAGTAAAGCACATTAAGGTGTGCATATTGGTTCATCCAGTTCATGAACAAGGTATTATTTACCAGACAACGCTAATAGTAACTTATTCACTCACTTCCCTCTTTCTTGAACGCATGGTCACTGCGGGTTCAAGGACGAGACAAACGCTTGGAACCAATGTCACCTCAGGTTCTTTACCATGGACTTTAATTTTGGGCCAAACATGCGAAGAGCGCATCCCTCTGTGAGCACCTAGGGATGCCCACTGTTCTTCCTTGTGCTGCCTGAATGTCTCAACGTCTTCTTTTGGAAGTTCAAAAGGACGACGTTTCTTGTTTGTTTCTGGATTTCTTCGACGAAGCCCTGCGATGTCCTTATTAAGATCTCGTCTCCGTAACGAAAATTGTGCACTGCGAAGAGGTGCTTGAGTAAGCCACAAACTCCTTCGCATGAGTTCTTACCATGGCTGGATGCCGAAAACAACCATGTCGCTTTATCAGAGCCGCTGTGCTTGAACTCGAAGATCAGGTATCGGCTTTTAAAGTGATATGTAGCTCCATCGGAAATATAGCTGAAGCATGCATAAACCGCAACGTTGTCTTCCAGCCGTTCTTCAATTCTTCTAATTGCCAGCAGTGCGTGTGATGAGTCGTGTCAGATACCTTCAGACACGACGCCGAAACTTAGCTGTTGATGCGACGCACGTGAAAATCGAAAGCTGGTGTTTGTGTCAATGGCGCTCTTGAACTTCATTCTGTAGTGAAACGGTTCAATACTCGGCAAAATCAAAATTGAGGACAACGCGCTTCTTAGTTACTTCGCTTCTCACAAGCAAAATTCCATCTCTTTGAAGTTTCCGGATATTATCAAGCGTAATGAACCGAATGGTCCAGTTCAGAATTTCTTCAAGAAAGACTTGTGGTTGAGTTGTCTTTTCGATAAGATCTCCTTTCTCCCACACGCAGAATGTTACTTGCCCCTGTTCAACATTTTCTAAACGTTTTAACGTAAGATTATGGGTGTTTGGGCCATTCCTTGCATTCGCATCCCAAACGCGCGCGTGTCAGATACGGATCTGACACGCGCGCGTTTGGGATGCGAATGCAAGGAATGGCCCAAACATCAGCTCCCGTTTTGTGATTCCTTCGTCGCGCCAAGAGTTCAGGGCGGAAAAATAAAGTTCAAAATTCGTGCAGTACAGGCAGACGGATACTGCTTGTTTCGGATTCACCCTCACCCACTTTGGACGGAGCAAGTAAATTTTTGATATTTCTAATTTAGTCTCTGGGTTGACTTTGTTGAACATTAGGTACGTCTCCCGGTGAGACCTTTTCATGAATCTTCTGATTATTAGTGATTTCCTGCCATCCTTATTGACGTTTATTTCGTCTTTTTTGTTCGTATTTTGAATTGAAGTATCAAGATCGTCGTTGGTATAATACTCAGTCGCCAGGCGTAGTACATCGTCACTGAACTTGTGGCCGCTGTATGGATCTGACTATTCCCAGACACCACAGTCAGTCTGCAGTTGACTCGACTGGTGCAGCAGGTATTTCGATAGTTCTGAAATTAATATCCTTGCTTCAGTAAAAGTAACGCTGGCAAGAATAAGTGTCAAAAGCGGGCATCTCTCCCGGTTTGTCAGCGCCTTGACAAAACGATAGGCGAATATTCAGCCACCACTCGCCGCAAGTGAAGCAATAACGATCTGTTGGGAGACTTGGGCTGCTTGGTTCTGTGCCATAGGCAGTAGCCGATTCTTTTCGACAGTTCACCTAAAGCCACTTCTATTTCGGCTTGCTCCTTTTTTGACGCAGGATTTTTTTGTGTTTTGGATTGATAGCCAACTGCACTCTCAGTGGGGTTGTATCGATAGCCCGCCGCCAGAAATCTCTTCATTCATGTCTCTCAGTAACACATGCTCGGAGACAGCCCTTGTGCATGAACTTGAGCTTGATTCACAGGTGCGGGACACAGAAAGTTTACCACCCAGACGTGCAAACCAATTCTGGCACAACATGCCGGTATCGCCCACTGCTGAAATACTGTTAGGGTACGGTTAGGGGGGGGGGGGCAGCAGGGCTGGCTTCAATAGATCCATCTTCAGGTACTTCATAGAGCGAAAACGTTCATTCTAATATATCTTCTCTAGATAGTGACCATCGTAGTCAACGCAGGACACTCGACTAAAACAGTCAGAGTTGGCCATTGACCAAGCCGGACAGGATCAACTGCGACTGTAAAAGGCTGGAGCAGGAAACGGCAATGTTAACTACGTTACTGTGACACAACAACAACTCTGATTCTTCTAAATATTCTCAATAGTGTAGTCTTTAACAATTTTGAAGATACAGTTGGTACATCCCTCCTTAGGATAAGACCACGACTAAAAAAACGTGCAGAGACGGTGCGGCTTGTCAACTGCCGACCACACGCGATGTCACAAGCAGCGCGTCAATTGCGACAACGCAAGCTGACATAGTGGCAGCACAATCCGGTGAACAATAAGAGAAAGATTAAAGTAATCGCGCCTATGTGATACCGAGCAAGGCATTGGCGCTAGGGATAAGGGGACGAATCTTTCACGTGTTGATGTCACCATACTGGCCACAAGGTCATGCTGCTTGCTTCTGCCAGCTGGTGAAAAAAAAAAACTAAGTATTGCCGCCCCTCGTCAGTTGAAAAGAAAGAAGAAATGTTTCACTTGTTGCTGTGCATTAAATCAGGTTTTAAAGATTTTCAACCCAAGCAGAAGTGCATTTTTTTTATTAATATTTTCACCATGAAAATGGGGGTGGATATTTTAGTTCCAGCCGATAGTGTGGAGATTTTTCATTTAGTCGAATAGCATCATTCACCCAAACATAACTTTTCTCATTAATGTGGCACAAATACTTAACCCTTCAGGCTGAAAACTATACTTGAGGTCACCTTTCTGTGATAATGGAGTCAAAAGTGGGAGCGCGCACGCGCATGCATTTTGAAGGCCAATTGAAGCTGAGCACGCGCGCTCCTCGCCAAGCGCTCCTGCACAGCTTCACTGGGTGCTCAAATTGCGCGAAAGAACGCACTCCTAATTTTGACTCGGCGCCACAGAAAGGTAACCCAAGTATAGAAGATATCAACATTGAAACAAAGCCAACTTGCGGAACCTAACTTTTTGCCGATTCCGGTGCATGGATCAGATTCTGACGTCTCCTCGCAAAAATACTACAAAGAAAGGCGGGATTAGATTAGACTAGAAAAGAAGTAGGACCGGGAATCATTAAGAAATTATAAATAAAACAAAAATAGGTTTTCTAATAAAACAGCCTCAAAATACGACCAAATTTAGGTTTATATGAAGTTCGAAAATTAGTATAAAAACATTTGTGAACAAAAACGAAACCAAACTACTATCAGCCAACAGGCCACGGATAAAGACTACACGATGGCAATATTCGATAAGCGCTAATTAACAAGAATCTGTCGATACAAGGCACCGAATAAGCATACTTGGACCTTCTTTGTTAAACGTCTACATCAATGACCTAGTAGACATCGATAACCAAGCGCAGTTCGTTATATATGAGGAAGATACGAGTATGTTTTTCTCTGCGGCCGATGCTGATACACTGTTGTGCCAAGTCGATTCTACTCTTACCAAATTTGCATTGTGGTCTGATACTAATGGCCTTAAGGTAAATACAATGAAGTCTAAAGCAATCTTATTCAGATCGAAAAATAAACCCATTTCAATAAATTACACTCTAGTCAGTCAGCATAAAACTTTAGGAGTATTTGTTTCAGAGAATATGACGTGGGATTGTCATGTAAATTATTTGTTAGCTAAACTCTCTCGGATCGTTGGTATTGTTTCTCGCTGCCGCAACGCTTTACCACTCAACATTAAATTTAAAATTTATCACGCATTATTTCAATCCCACTTAAGTTATTGTCACCTTGCATGGGCTACTACAACAAAAACAAACCTTTAAAATCATATTATTTCTACAAAAGAAAATAATACGATGTATTGCTGATGTTCCCTGCACAGACCACAAAGAACCTTTATTTTTAAAATATCAAATAATTCCGGTTGAACGCATGTATGAGTATCGTTTCCTTTGTTCCATTCGTTTCTCCCGGCCCTACACTATTTATTGATTTCTTATTCATTATTTCTGAGCTTGTAAGGCATAGCAGTGATGTCAGCATACGCCACAGAGAAGCATGGGTCCTCCCTTGTTCCCGCACAAACTACAACTTACAAACTTTACATTATAATGTACCACTTGTTTTAAATAAATGCCTCACAAACAACATAAACATATACACGATTAGCAAACGAGACTTGCGCTCTTATATCTTCGTTTTTCGCTAACTTAGTGTTATAATGTTTACAAAGTTCCGATTTTTAATTTTTAACTTATTTTTTGTCTCATCAAATGTCAGGATGTAATAAGGGTCCCAGACCCAGTCAAGCTGTCCCAACAGCTTTTTGACTGGGACTCCTTCTAGTGTTTCTGAAAAATAAAGCTTTGATTTGATTTGATTTGAAATATGTCCCCCTGAACGTCAGGGACACAATGTTTGGCATTTTTTTTATCTCGGTGATGACATTTGGCTTATTTCTCAAATGTATTACAATAAAATACTTGTCATACAATAGATTCACACACAAGAAATTCTATAGATGTTTTAATCTCTTTAGTATGCGTAGCAAATAACAGAACTTCGTAGAAAAATCAAACGCAAATTTTGATTTTCATGTAAAGGGTGAGCGTGTTGTTAAGGTACTGAATATGAACAAGGGACAAAGGGACGGAAAACAACGACAAACGACAACTTCCAACCACCTTGCTTCATCTTCGTGAAACGAAAATTTGTTATATTCTTTTTACATGGGATTATTTAATTGAGAAAACTCCAAATACCCATCCCGCCAGTGTGTTCGATTTGAAATGAAACGACCCATCTATAATGGAATGCTCACCTTGAACAGCATTCGCCGCATTGCTGCAAATATCAAAGAGAAGTTCTCATGGACGACATTCTGCTCTTTCCAGTAGTTCCTGTGTCTGGCTGCGTACCTTTAAAATAATCAAAGTACAAAACGGATCTCCACGTATGTGCATAAAGTCCAACATTCTGAAAGATAGATTATATTCATATGAAAAAAGGAGGGACCACCACATTGAAAATATTATCAGACTGGCTTTTAGCTTGCACTAGTATATTCTATCCTAATCTTATAATATTGCTCTCGGAGTGGGAAAGGTTTGTTAGGTAGGTCACGTAAAGGTTCACCGCAACTTAAATAATTTAAAATATACAATATTTTCGCAAATCATGAACATTATGCTGGAATATCAAACTAAAAGCTGGCACTCCCAGTGCTCCAAACAACCAAGAAGTTTTCATCCTTCGAACAGCTATCAAAAAGGGCTTCAGCCCCTCTGCGTTGATCTCATGGCCCAGATAGCAGAGTGATTCTTTGAAGAACTCACATTTCTCTCGCTGGAGTTTCAGGCTGGAGTCCTTTGAGTAATTTACTTTTTGGACAACTTTCCTGAGGTTCTCAAGATGTTCTGCCTCAGTAATTTTCAGTCACTAGAACACCATCCATGTAGACATATGTTCCTTGGATTCCCTGCAGGGTCTCTTCAATTGTTCTTTGGAACAGTGCCGCAGCTGAGGACACGCCGAATGCCAAACGGTTGTAAGCAAAAAGTCCACGGTGTGTTGATGACCATGAGTTTGCTGTTTTCTTTATCAACGAGTACTCGGTTTTACGCTTCAAGGAAGTCCAGTTTAGAAAACTTTACTCCTCCCTGCACAGAAGCAAATATGTCTTCCACTTGGCAGTGGGTACTGGGTTGTCATCACCACAGGATTCACACCTAACTTGCAGTCCTCGCAAATCCTGACATTCTTGCCATCGGCTTTCAGCACTGGCGCGATGGAGGATGCCCAGTCAGAGTGGTCTGTGGCCGGGATGATGCCTTCTTAGATTGTATCAGTTCCAGTGCCACCTTTTCTTTGAGTTCATATGGTACTGAGTGGGCTATGTGGTACCGTGGTTGGGCGTTGGCTCGAACGTCCACATGCACCGGTGGCCCTTTCAATGCACCGGAACCTGGTTTGAAGATATCTTCAACTTCCTGGAGTATTTCCAGTACCCTTCGTTCGGTTCCAGTTTCTCCTAGTTGAATGGAGTTTACTTGCCGTGGAAGCAGGTCAAATGCTGCCATCCAGTCCTTGCCACAAAGGTTAAGGTTCTTGAAAAGCAACAGCCAGAAGTAACTCTTGAACTCTGATCTCTCACCAAGCTTTATGTCCACTGTCAAAGTTACTTGCACAGACAGGAATTGTTCCACGGATGCATTTGAGCTTGATGTCCGTTTCAGCTGGTTTAGGCAGACTTCTCTGGTATCTCAGGTACGTATCCTCCAAGACCAGCAAAATAAGGGATCCTGAAGATAGCTCCATCTCAAGTGGAAGTCCATTGACCATGAATGATAGCGTGATTGGTTTCAAAGTTGACTTTGCTTGCAGTGCATGCAAGTAGTACTCGGATGGTACACCAACAGGTTCCAGTGCGTTCACTTGTTTCGTGGACTGTTTCTTCTTATCCCTCTTTTGACAAACAACAACTTGCCAAATGCCCACCTTTTTCGCACTTGTGTTGATGTGCGGGCAGTCTGGGGGATTGCGATCCCGAAAACCACGACGAATGTTGGAACTTGCTTTTTTTTTTGTGGTCCTGGCTTCTCTTTAGCTATTTCTTTTGAATCCTTTCATTGTTGGCCTTTAGGTCCCAGTTCACCAGTTTTCTTCCTGTGGAACTTGATATGATTGGTGGTAGCTTCTTGGTTTCCCGAAATGGGTGTGTCCACGTGGTCTCTTTGTATCTCGGTCGCGTTGCGCTCCGCTGATTTCGCCGACCTAGAGATTTCGACCGCCTTCTCCAGAATTGGATTTTTCTCTATTAACAGTCCTTGCTGCACACTGTTGTCCCGTACCCCACACAAAAGGCGGTCCTTCAGTATGCGGTTGAGAACTGCTCCGAAGTCGCACTGTTCTGCCATTTGTCGAAGTTCGGCGACGAACGTAGCGACGCTCTAGTTCTCGAGCTGTACTCGCTTGTTGAAGCGAAACCTGTAGGCGCTTTCGGACGGTGGAGAGCTGAAATGACAGGTCAAGGTAGCCATGAGCTCCTTGTACTTCTCTTTTGGCTTTGCAGGTGATAGCAGAGCATGGAGTGTCGCGTAGGTGCTGGTCCCGACGGTTGATAGGAAGCACAATTTCTTCTTCTCGTCGTCTTTGATGCCGTCTGCACGGAAGAACGCGTCAACCCTTACCGTGTAGGATGACCAAGGCTCCTTGTCGCCGTATGCGTCCAGCTTGCCAAAAGTCGCGATGTCTATAGTTTCGGAATTCACGCGCGGGAAGTTCGCGCAGAGCTTAGATCCGTAGAATTACTACCGAGATTCCCCGTCTAGTCGTGGATCCGTTTCTCGTCGCCAAATGTTATGTACATCGGGGAGTGGCTTTAACATATTTGTTTATTAACTAATAACAAGCGGCCGGAATCAGAGCAGCCTTCAAAACCTCGCGGTTCCAGAGTCGGCTCCTCGCCGTAGTCGTTGGAGGGCGGGTCGGTGGCGCCATCTAGTTAGGGCATACAATTACACAGCAGGAAGACAAAAAACGATCGTTGCCGCCGCCGCCGCCCTGACATACTCAACCCTTCTGTTCCGTCCGTACGGGAACAAACTCGTTTCTGGCCCGCCAGTGCCTCAAGTTACAAATACAGTAGTCAGAGTAAAGTAAAACGTTGCTCCAGAGGAACATACACCTTGACGCGCGACACCGCAGCACTTTGGCATGCGACAGCATGTCCTTTGATCACGCCGCAAGACTTGCATTCGACAGGTTCTGCCTTTTTCTTACCGTGCTGCGCGTTTGTTAAAAATTCCACGCGCTCTCAAATGCAACTACGACCGTTTACACACTGTTAAGAAAAAGAACTTAATTGGCGAATGACAGCGAAAGAACAGAAAACGTGTCTTAAGCTTGCTGCCTGCCGCCCAGCCTCTGCAACGCTCCAACAGGTCGACTTTCCGTTGGCTAAACTTGGCAGTCCGGTGGTCACGTTCGCGGAGTAATCACTGGTTCTAATTTTCAAACCTGTTTTCTTTTTCTTTTTTTTTCTTTTTTCGCCTGATGTGACAGTATTTTAGTATTTCTATGGCTGTGATTTGGTCATGCGTCCATAAGAACTTAACAACGCATAAATAATTTATAAAAACCTCTAGCATACTGAAGATACCAAATGACGGACTTTAATGAGAAAGTGGTCGCTGTGCCCATAAACTTATCAATAAAAAAAAAAAAGAAATGAATGCCTCACTTACAGATACAGCAGAACCAGCGCTGTCACCACCAGTATAATCCAATCCGGAACACCCAGGAACTTCATCTCCGCTGACGCCGTGTTCTGCGCGCGGAAGAGACAGAATTGTACAGAACAAAACGGAACCTTCAAATACAAATTGCATGTCAGCCGAATTCCCACCTAATAGTGAATTTTAGTATATTCTTCCGACACCTCCGATAAAAATGCCCGATAACAATACGACGCATGCGTAAAGGCGTTGGCGGAGTATTGGCTATCGTTATCAGACCTTATAAAACCATATTTTAAAACTTTCAAATAGCAATTCATGAACCTGAACATTCGACGAAAATTTGTCTGGGGTGGGGGGAATGGATAGTTAGAGAAGACGTCCAGTCAAACCCTAACTAGGACGCAACTCTACGAGGACATCATCTTCCGAGCTAACGGTGGCGATGGTCATTGAACGAAAACGAAACTACTTCCTGTCGAGTCACGTCTGAGGAAGAGGACAAATACGACCCGAAACGTTGGGTCTTTAATTAAGGATAGGTTGTACGTGCTTTTGAAGTGTGAACATCAATCCCCACTGACGTTATAAAAAAAACCAAAAGTGAAGCAACACGACCGTGCACCTGGTAATGGATGCACTAAGCGATTCCGCATGCGGAAACAGGGGTGACACAACTACGCAGTCGGAGGAAAAATATCCGACTGAGCGTCAAGGGCAGCCGGGCAATCACCCACTCCAATTGCAGACTGCAGCGCCACATCTCCCCTTACGGCCGGCGGGTTGCTAAAACAACAACAAACCAAACAAGAACACGGTCGCCGTCGTCGTGGCAACGGCGCCGCTAGGCAACGCCTCCTAGATTCTAAGGCCGCAGCACTCTTCTCGTGACGTCGGAAAGGAAGGCCATCGGAAGCGCGGCTCGAAGCGCCGGGGCGAAGCAACGCGCGTGGATCGACCGTCGTAACGACACGGTTTTAGTCACATAAGCGCTTCTCATCAGCAGAAATGAGAGCTGCACATAGCAACTTGGCTGAAGACCATGTTATTACACGGGCAAAATATTTCAGCATCAAATGGCACGAGGTATATGTATAAGACGTCTACAACAAAAAAATGCAAACGTTTTAGTTAAAAAAAAAAATTGAGTCACGAAAAGATTGCTGTAGTGATGCATATTTTATGCAGAAATGCTTTGACAAAATGGTGAGACACACAGTGATTGAACACAGCAAAACAGATCCCAGTTAAAAATCAGGTAGACGCAGTCAACATGGACACGGCTAGACAAGTGTCACAATCATGTAAGCGATGTTAACGCATGAGTAGGGTGATTTCAGATAAGATGGACCAAAGGGCGGTTGGTCGACACTTTTAAATCAACTGATATGCTATTGTCTAGTTTCTGGTATAAACGATTCCACACTTAGTTTTGACCAGAAAAAAAATGCGGACAGGAAAATCATAAGGCATGAAGAGGTGGACACATTAACGCACATTGATGGAGGGGGCGTGTTTGAAAGGGAATAACTAAAATGATAAAATTAGGAGAATTCTAATACTTTTTAGAAACAAGCTATGGGTACAGCGTGCTTGTAATATAATGTAATTATATTTATTTCTATCATATTTCGTTTTTTTTAGAAAAAAAACCAAACATGGCTGCTCGAACGACAAATCTCAAAATTCGGAGGCCTGGATCTCATGGAATAGTATAATCATTATCATATACTTTTCAGATACTATTCTACTTATATATGGCTATTATTCTTAAAACTACATATAAGGTACAGAGCGCGACACTGTTAGCGCGAACAAGCGATCGCTGGTTTTTCCAGTTTTTCTCTTTGAAACTAGGGGATGTCATCCAAGTTATCATTGCTACGGAAAGAGCTCAATTAGTTCTATAAGGTAAGCGATAACATTTTGTGCTCGCTAATACTATTTAGAAGTCAAATGCGAAAATGCGCCCATGCCGTGTTCGCGCTAACAGTGTCGCAATGTGTACCTGAGTGACACGCTGGTCGGGATATATTTAGGCAAACATGGGGAAAAAATTAATCAACAATTTATTCCGATGCAACTAAAGAAAAAAATAACTTCGATTTTTTTTATTTGGGGTTGTCAGTCATACTCTATTTTGCCATTCATTTCTATTAAAACATGTTGCATTATTTGATTGAGAATGAAGACATAACTCCCCGAAGTAGGGTCCTTTTTTAATGCCCACACTTGGCAGTGCCCGATACAAGAAGTGACTCTGATTTCCAGTTTCATGAAACTAACAAACATTTTTTATATATCTTTATTTCTTTATTTAGATAAGGCCATTGATAATTATAGCAACCGTTTACACAGTAAAAGTGAGGAGAAACTGCTGTGTACCAAAAGCTATCATATTACGAACTAGGGATGCGAAAAAAGGTCCTGCAGCCATCGGCCACTGGGAACTTTGTTTATTTTCTTACGACACTATAGGCTTCTCTGTCTTCCTCTCTATCTCCATCTCTCGCTCTCTCTCATATATATTCCCTGACCAGGGGCGGACGCAGGTATTTTTTGAGGGGGGGGGGGGGGGGGGGGGGGTCAGGTGTTGGTCGGCGTATCATATGTTTAGGACCCCCCTCTCCCTTTCCCCTTTCCACGCCCTAAAGTTTTACACATGCAGAATTCAAGAGGGGGGTCAGGACATCCGAAACCCTCCCCCCCCCCCCCCCCCCCCCCCTCTGAATCCGCCCCTGTCCGACTTATATCTAGAACGAAAACATATTCAAGCATTCCCTCACTACGAGATAGGGTTCTGTGGCTAGCAGCTATCGTTTCCTCGTGAAGATCACGATTATGGCGCAAAAGTTGACGGAAGTAGCAGACGACACTCGTTGCTAGTTCTGGCAAAACGGCCGATACAGTCTTTTTTCCCCATTTCCTCGCTCGCTGTCAAGGATAAGGAGGTTCGCTTCAACCACCCACTCGCAACATGGCGACAGTATTTATGCTCTAGGTAAGGAAAGACATGGCGTGTGGTATGAGCCGGATCCTTACATGAGGTGCAAGGGGAGCCCTGAAAGCGTGTCTGCTGCGCTTGAGTACTTCACGAATGACGAGCTAGAATATGTGCGCCAAGGACCCAACCAGAAGGACGTGATCTCCGTCATGCTCGACGGGGAGAAAACACTCGTGCCAAAGTGCTTCGTGACACGCTTAATTCCAGAGTCCTTTCGTACATACAAAGACAAGCACCCTGATCCTGCATTGGGCTAACGAAATTTCATTTTTTGTGCCCTAGATGGGTCAAATGCATTCCACACCACGAAATGTGTGCTTGTGTGCGCTGTGCCAATTATTACCTATGTATTGCCGCTGTAGAGAACGTTACAGACTCAACATTCACAACTGGTGAAATGAATTCAGCATTTCTGTGCGACCCACTAACAAGTCTGTGTCTTTAAGGAGACTGTGATCGCAGCCCAAAATGCTAGTCCCTTACACTTGTGGAGACTCAAGAACAGACAACCGTTTCGCTGGTGTCCACACCCGTTCTAACCCGTGCTCGTCCTGAGCGCGCGCTAGCTTGACCCGCCTCACGAGCCATCTTTATTGTCGTCCTTTTCAATCCCCACGCACTCAAGGAACTTTATATCCCAAAGGATGAAGAGATTGTGCTTACAACATGGAAGTCCGGCGACCTTGTGAAAAAAAAAAAGAAAACATTGTAACTTGAGATTTTCCTAAAAGTGGTTGAAGTAACGGTTTGCAGTTGGCTATTTCAAAACCATATACGACAAATGCTAGATAAAACGATCTGCGATGAAAAGCAGTGCATGCAACGCGGGGGCACTATCTTTCATTTTTACGTTGCTGAAAACTGCACCATCGTGCTTCCTGCCTAGTTCAAGCATATATCACTGGAAAAAGAAGTGACGATACTTACATATGTAGTGACGACAAGAAAATAAACAAACAGCTTTGCTATTGTCAGCGAGGACCTGTGTGAATACGACGCTCACACCTGCTCGGCTCTAGAAAAAGTTAGAGTTGGTTGAAGACAACGTTGTGGTATACTCGCGCATGACGTAGTACGTAAGTGACGAGGCCACCAGTCATTTTAAGAGTCGCTACCAGCTTCACCAGTTTGCACTGAACCACTGCCTACAAGCCCAGTGGTTATTTTCTGCTTCTGAATATGGGAAAATGCATGCGACGGAGTTGGCGGACTCGTGAAGCACCAGGCCACGCTGAACGATCTGAAAGAGCGTTCAATAAACTCAATTTAGACGGCCAGGAGAATGGTGAACGTTCTATTCGAGAAACTGGGTGCATCTTGTGTGTCTGGACGAAAATGAGGTTGTTCAATATCGTCAAAAAAAAAAAAGAGTGACTGACGGTGCGCGCCTTTTCTGACATTCAGTCTTGGCACGCGTGGCGGCTGTGCAAGCCATCAACAGAAGAAACCTGTGACGCATAGGCAGCACGGGCAGTCAGATCTGGTTAGAGGAAACTTTATTAAACGGGTACGTCCAGAAAGGCCTTAGCATAAAGTTTCGAATTTGATTCCCCAATAACTGCTCATTTTGAATGCAGGGTCATCATATTTATTACAGTGTGCTTCGCGGGGCATTTGACCTATTGTTTAATTTTGCGCTAGATTGTAATTTTCATCTGATTATCATATGAGAATCACGAAACGTTATCCTCGCGCAGGATAACATATCTGGGCTTGCCACGATCCATTCCTACACCGAGAGTATCGAAGGTCTTACGGTCCCACGCAGTGGCACACCTCACCTGAAATGGTTTGTCTCCAGAAATGCATAGCTAACCTAAACAATTTTAGCATTACATTGTTATTTTTGTGTGCGGAAGTGAAGTTATGTCTTTTATTCTAAATATAAAATATACCGCAAAGTAAAACTTCACACTGCATCATCTTTTCTCGAATCACTAGTCTCTATAATGATACCTCTTTGTAGGCTGAATGTAAAATGCTGTATATAGTTTTGACAAGGTAGCCTAGGGATTAACCAGTCGAGTCGGGGTTCCATGTCAGACTATTTACTCAGCTCGTGCCGTGTGT